GTCCTAAAAAAAAAAACTCAGGCTGTAACGCACTTGCCGATGCAGTCATGCGTTTTTGCGATAAACTTGCAGAACACTAATATCAAAAATGATTCCTGCGTCGTAGCTTAACACTTGGACTCATATTGGCCGTATTTTGGCCTCTTCCGGTATACAAGGGGAAAGAGTCTTAGTAGGAATGAAAGGGTTACATTTTAGGACCGCATGAACCTCCAGGTTCATGATTATCAGTTTTTATGCATTTTTGCATAATATGCAAATGCGGAAACGCATATTGCGACGACCCCGATGTGTGTGTGTAAATGTGTGTGTGTGTCTCTGTCTGTCTGTCCGGGTATTTCAACTCGGCACCCAAGCAAGCTTCGGCGCCAAAATTTTGCGAGTGGGTTCCCTGGCCAATTGCCACCCCAGGACTGCGGTACCAACCCTCAGGCATGTCTAGGCCCCGCGTACGAGCGCCTCAAAGTTTTGGCGGGAAAATAGCTAACTTGAGAACCAGAAATGCTAGAAAGCTGAAACTTTGGGATTATGTTTCCAGTCCAATTAGAGCTCAAAGATTTCATATTCAGCCTCCGGGGGTTCGTGGTTCCCGCGTACGCCCCCCTTGAAGGTTCCTGGCGCGAAAATCGCTAGCTCGGGAACCAGGAAAGCTAGGAGGCTGAAAGTTTCAGGAAATGTTCACTACTCATTTACAACTTCAATTTATCAAATTCATCCCCCGCCATGCGTGGTTGCCACGTATGGCCCCGTGAAATTTTTCGGCGGGAAAATGAATAACTCCAGAACCAGGAAGGCTGGGAGACCGAAAGTTTCAGGAAACGTTCCATACCCATCTATAACTTCAATTTATCAAATTCAGCCCCCCGCCATGCGTGGTTGCCACGCATGGCCCCGTGAAAATTTTTGACGGGAAAATGAATAACTCCAGAACCAGGGAAGCTGGGAGGCTGAAATTTTCAGGAAATGATCCCAACTCATTTTCAACCAGTTTATCAAATTCAGTCCCCCCAGTGTGCGGGACTGCGACGTACGGCCCGTGGAAATTTTTGGCGGGAAAATGAATAACTCCAGAACCAGGGAAGCTGGGAGGCTGAAACTTTCAGGAAATGTTCTCAACTTATCTAGAACTTGAATTTATCAAGTTCAGCTCCCCGTTATACGTGGTAGCTGCGCACGGCTCCGTGAAATTTTTTAGCTGCAATTTCGGTAACTCGGGAACTGAGAAATCTGGGAACCTGGGATTTCAAGGAAATGTTCCCTGTCCAACTATAGCGTGGATAATTAAGTTCCCGAAATTCGAGGACCAGTATGTACAAGAAGTTTCTAGCTAGCGGAACTCCGAGTAATCTTATTACAGCACGAAACACTGCAAAAACGCATGATCGCACGGGGCTCCCCAGTGCGCGTCGCAGATGATTTGCATGAAGCCCGGTCGTTTTTCCGACAAACGCTGGCTGTTAGTCGGAAGAGGATTATGGAAACTGTAAAAAGCACTCGCTTTTGAATTTGTGACAAAATTAAGTGTTTGTCATGTCTGAGTGCAGGTAATTTCACTTCTCCAAACTGAATTATGACCACACGTGAATATTGAATGCCCTCACGAAGTTTCAGTTTCGCAGCTTATCTGTTAAGCGAAATAGTCACTTCGCTGTAAATATCTTTGAAGTGCTCCAAGTCATGACGCAAATGCGAGTTGACACTCAATTTAGGTATTCGATATTGCGTATGAACATTAAATATTCTGACGGAATTCCAGCTACTGTTTTCTTGCTAGTTTTCGAATTAGAACAGTGCCAGTTGCGAACATTGACGTGACTGTGTGCGTGGTGCAGAGGTGCGCGGCAGCAAAATTTGAAATGTTTGACTCATACATGCACAGAGAATATCCCTGCAAAGTTTCAGCTTTCTATCTTGTCTGATTCGTGAAATCGTTTCCTGCCAAAGAAATCTTTCTTTCTGGGGTTCATATGCGAGGCCTTGGCGTGTGTGATCTGACTTTAAAACAGGAGAGTGACACATGGGGAGGGAATATGCTCCCAAAATTTCGGCCTCAGCTCTCCTGATTGCTGAATAGAAAGTGGGTGACAAAGTTTATTTGGTTCGGGACACACACACGGACGACCTCTTAACAATATGCGTTTTTGCTCACTGTAGCAAAAACGCATAAAAATGAACGCTTTTAGGTAGTAGCATGGATACTGCGAATTCAGGATAATGTCGAAAAAGATTACTGGCTGTACATTATAGAAAGAACGAATGCATCGATGAAACAGCAAAACCTCAAAATGATTTAAAGTTTAATAAAGAAAATAGTGGTTTGACTTATACTCCTGCTTTATAAAAATCGTGAGTTTTATGAGTGTTTGCTACAAACGTTGATAAACATTTTCTCTGTGAATATAAGAGAAAAAAACATATTTCGCACTGCAGAAAACACGGCCAAACGGAAGTTTGAAAAGGGGTTAGCAGTTACACCAAATCAATTTAGCAAAAATATTGAGACGGGCTTCCTAAGTAACAAGGCACCTCTCGAGATAAGGTATTGGTAATCTGCGGTGAGCCTTGAGAACTGCTTTTGTTGCAAATTTTTTCTGCTGTGAGAACCGTTGAGTTGATAATTTCTTCGAGAGTCGAAACAAACACCAAAATCGCCAGCAAGCTGACTGCTCAGTGACGCAGCGCTGGTCGAACTGAGGACCATTTAAATAGTCCATAGTTGAATAGCACATTTTGAAGAGCAGCCAATTAAAGTACTGAGGCCTGCAAGGTTCGATTCTCATGAAATTTTGGGCAGAAGCGCTGGAAACGTCTTATGGGCCTTGTCGTTGTATTCTTGGTCATGTTTAATCAATGGACATTTTACGAGCCAATGTTTTCTTATACTCCGTGAGTACTGTTGTTTGTTGAGTTTAAGGCCTCAGCACATGAAATGTTGTATCCGTGCTAACTGCTTGCTCACCACCCAGAAACAGGTACATTCCAGGTATCATTATCGCTGATTTCATTCACCGTTCACTGGAAAGCCGAAAGTTCGGGACTGGTCGAAATTCCTGCGTTCCATTATCTGTCATGCAGCACTTCTAAATCAGAAATGGCTTAGAAGAAAGTGACATGCATTATTTTTTTTTTTTTGGTACGACGAAGAGGTACCAAAGGCGAGTTAGCTTTCGATTGAATTGTTTGATTCT